AAGGGTGGTTTCACTGGGAGCCTGACAGTCGGGTCCTATTTACGTAATTTGTGCACCACTTAACGTGCCACATGAATACTTATGCTATGTTCCAGGTCTTTCTGGTGGTTCCAGACTTCTAAAATCTTAATGCGTCGGCTACTGAACGTCCCGTTTTGTTGACCGGACTGACTCACTATGCGAAATCCGCTTGGAGTCCCTAAGGGAGAGGCTGACTACAAATAACGTAATAAATAAAGTAGAGTATTACTTGCATTACTAGAGATTACTTGAATTACTAGTGAGTGGAGCGACATTAGAAATGAAAGAAGAGACGGGTTTGATGAACGGCGCAGACTGAGAAGAAGGGAATATTGAGATATATGTCTAGGTGATAGAGGTAGCAAGCAGTTACTAGATTCAGTTTGTTCTGTTTGACAGTCCTAGCTGTCATGCTAGTGATTAAGTGATTACAGCCAGGTGTTATACTAGCAGGTGTTCTCTATCAGGCATTGTTAGAGTAGGTAATTAATTCACCTTGTTAGTGATTGGCTGGGTTTAGTATATTAGCTATCAGCTTGATAAGCTAGGTGGGGACGTAGTCTCTCAAGCTAAGGCACGGTATGATGGCCTGTATATCTCTGTATATATTCACCATTATATCTATATAAACTTTCTATGCACCTTCATCACCAGTCGGTCTCCAGCTTCTTATTTACTACACCCAATAGGGAATTGGTAACACGCCGCATAGTATGTCCAAGATGGGCCAGGACAAGCTTTTGAAAGAAAAGTGAACTTTCAGGAAGGGCCTGAAACGCCGATGACTACAGTAGGAACGGCCTTGTGTTCCCAGGTAGCAGCGCCACGGCAAGTGTAATTCAATCAAGGGCATGTTTGTGCAAGCTCAGTCAGTGTGGCTGAGAGGCAATCCTTGTGTTTACAAGAGGGAGAAAGTGATCTCTGAAAGAGAAGGTAAGAAGATATGAACTTGCTGACGGTTTTACCCTTTGGAACCAGCACGTTACGATGGTCATTAAAGGCTTATGGTTCAGCTCCTGACATGGGAGTGCTCACGGGAGGAGGAGGAGGTGGAGGGATGCCTCCAAACCATTCGAGTGCGCTACAAGGAAGGGCAATTGTGCAATGCAGGGAATAATTAAAAAGCAGCCCACTTATCTCCCTCATGCTCAAATGACAGCCATAAATATCAGCCCGGTAGACCTTGGTCACATCGGGCTTGGGGCAGGAGTCAACTGAATTTAAATAGCCGTCGGCCAGAAAGGGTGAAAGGGAGCAAGCTGACACACCTCACGCGCCTCTTTTTTGTCGAAAACTTTTCAACATTTCAGAAAGATCAGAGAAACTTATTGATATGATATGCAAGTGGGAGCCGCCTACATTGCACCTCTTTGAATAAGAACTCGGGGACTTGTTTAAGGACACAAGCAGGGCCCTGCTGGATCGGACCCACTGGTCCATCTAGCCCAGCACACTGTTTCAGACAGCGGCCAACCAGGACCTGATTGGTATACGAACGTCTTTGCCACATTTATAAACAGGATTCTCCCAAAAAACGTTGGTTAAATAGTCATTTCTTGGCTTTTGTAGAAAGGAGCGCTCCCATCGACCATTAGTAGTAGGCAGGGCTCTTTTTTGTAGAAAAAGCCCAGCAGGAACTCAGTAGCATATTAGGCCACACCCCTGACAGCACAGCTCATTAGCACATTAGGCCACACCCCCATGTTACCAGAAGTGTGGTCATCCAGCCACACCCACCTTTCGCTTCTTATTCTGTTTACCTTGTTTGTTGTCAAAACCCAGGGCCTTTTTGTAGCAGGAACTCCTTTGCATGTTAGGCCACACACCCCTAATGTAGCCAATCTTAATGAGTTTCTGCTATTGGGTGCAGCCTATTATGCTAATGAGTTCCTGCTGGGCGTGGCCAACTCAGGAGCCAGCCGGAACTCCCTTCCTGTGCGTTCCTGCCCAAAAATAGCCCTGGTAGTGGGGGGGGGGGGGAGAGAGAGAGACTGTCCTCTCTTTAAACAAAGCTCTACAGTGTTTATATTCTTAACTCTCTGTACCCTCAACACTGTCTGTTCGACTGTGATTTGCTTAACGAGACAAGAGATAGCTGGATAATACCTTACATCCAGGACGCTTAAGCATGAACTGGATAAATTGAGGTTTCTTTTAGCAGGGGTGGATTTTAAAATTACATCGGCAGTTGCCTAGTTCTTTTCTCAGTTGATTAAGATTTAAAAGTATCGATTTTTTATATTATAGAGACACGTGTATTAAATAAAATTTTCTTCTTCTTTTAGTCTTACTGTGACGCTGTTCAGAGCGGAACTGGCTGTAAAAGCAGTGTCCTTAAAGTAAGTAACTCTCTGTACCCTCTTTTGCAAGAAACCTCAGTCCGTCTTACCAGGAGAGACCAATACTGCTCCACACTGCCTGCCCTGAGAGAACAGTTCCAAGAGAACTTGTAACTGACCCAAGGTCACACCTGCCTGATGTAGCCTTGGAATACTCTAAGGGTGGACAGAACAAGAGCCAGTCGGGACAATGTTGGTCCAAGTATGGTCCGAGAGCTGAAAGAAGTGTCTGAGGTACGGTCGCCAGCCTCCAGGTGGGGCCTGGGGATCTCCCGCTTTTACCACTGATCCCCAGCTGAAAGAGACCAGCTCCCCTGGAGAAAATGGCTGCTTTGAAGGGTGGACTCTGTGGCACTGGACCATGCTGAGGCCCCTCCCCTCCCCAAACCACACCCTCTCCTGGCTCCACCCCCAAAGTCTCCAGGTATTTTCCAACCCAGACTTGGCAACCCTAGTCTGAGGCCAAAGGTTTGAGAGCCAGTTTGGTGTAGTGGTTAAGTGTGAGGACTCTAATCTGGGAGAACCGGGTTTGATTCCCCCACTCCTCCACTCGCACCTGCTGGTGTGACCTTGGGTCAGTCCCAAGCTCTGGCACAGCTGTCCTTGAAAAAGAGTAGTTTCTGTCAGAGCTCTCTCAGCCCCCCTACCCCACCTCTCAGGGTGTCTGTTGTGGGGAGGGGAAGGGAGAGGAGTTTGTAAGCCGCTCTGAGACTCCAAGGGAAGGGCGGGGTATAAATCCAATCTCTTCTTCTTCTTCTTCAGCCACAAGGCCTGCTACAGCTGCCTGTGAGGGATGGAACCAGCCTTTCCCCCGGTGGAACAAAATGTGGAAAATACCGTGGAGAACCGGAGAAGCCACGTAGAGAATTTTCTGACTTGTGCATTGTAGCATTTGTGAGCTTTGGTTCCAGGAGAAATAGTTTGCCTGAAGAAGAATTCCTCGAAACGCACAATTTTTGCCTGGGAGGCGTGTTGCGGTGTCCTTTTTCAGAGCGAGACAAGCCAGCATGATGTTTGCTACGTCTCTTCTTTGAAGCAAAAGAGTCACAACGTTGAGCCTTGTCTGCGTATTCGGTCTCTGTAACTTTGGACATTTCTTCAAGATTGAATAGTGTTATATATTGATTGTAAAGGTAAAGGTAAAGGTTTCCCTTGCTTGAAAGCCAGTCGAATCCGACTCTAGGGTTGCGGTGCTCATCTCCGTTTCCAAGCTGAAGAGCCAGCGCTGTCCGAAGACATTTCCGTGGTCATGTGGCCGGCATGACTAAACACCAAGGCGCATGGAATGCTGTTCCCTTCCCACCGAAGTGGTACCTATTTATCTACTTGCCATTTCTTGCTTTCGAACTGCTAGGTTGGCAGGAGCTGGAACTAGAGACGGGAGCTCACTCCGTCCTGCGGCACACTCGGGTCTCGAACTGCCAACCTTCCACAGCCTGCAGTTCAGCGTCTTAACCACTTGAGCCACCGCAGCTCCTCTATATTGATTGTATCTCTTGTTACTTATAATAATCAGGTTGTACTAGGGTATACGATAAGTATATGATTTGATTAATTAACGAAGCTATAGTCGTATATTAGAGTCGTGTGCTTTGTTTTTGTTTGCACGGCATTTCCCCCATTTTGTTCAGCCCTGCTGTGTTTCCCGTGTGCGTTGCTATTCCCCCTGGTGGAATCAAGCAGTGGGTCCCCAGCCTTCTTGCTGTGGTGACCCACACGTTCAAATTTACTTGGTGTGGAGGCTCATTTGAAGAACCAGAAAAGCCACGTGAACACATGAAGCTGCCCTCAAGCTGCAGCAGATCCAGGGTCCATCTTAGTATTGCCTGCTAAGACTGGCAGCCGCTCTCCAGGGTCTCAGGCGGAGAGGTCTTTCACATAATCTACTGCCAGGCAACTGGAGATGCCGGGGACTGAACCTGGGACTTTCTGCACGCCGAGCACAGGCTCTGCCACTGACCTACGGTCATAAACCATTAAAACGGAAAGATCCTGGGAGCCACATTTCACGGGCTTTGCAACCCATTTTTGTGTCAAGAACTGCCAGAATAGGAGACACTGGTGGAGGAGGAGGAGGAAGAGGAGGAGGAGACCAGATGATTTATACCCCACCCTTCACTATCAGGAGTCTCAGAGTGGCTTATGATCTCCTTTCCCTTCCCCTCCCCACAACAGGCACCCTTGTGAGGTAAGTGGGGCTGAGAGAGTTCTCTTGAGAACTGCTCCCGAGAGAACAGCTCCGAGAGAACTTGTGACTGACCCAAGGTCACACCTGCAGCTGCATGTAGAAGAGTGGGGAATCACACCCAGTTCTCCCAGATTAGAGTCCGCGCTCCTAACCACTACACCAAACTGGTTACACCAAACTGAAGCAGAAAGGAAGAACATTATTGAGATGGGAGGCACAATGGCTTTGGGAAGACTGGGATATTTGTGTTGGGGGTGTGTGTGTCTGGCACTTTCTTCTGCCCTCTGCCTTGACTAGCAAACTTGTCAGTCGTTTAGCGAGTACACCAATAAAGGGGGGGGGGTTATGGTTAAAAAAAGGGTACCTGATGTTTGCGTACAGGGTGTTATGCGCTTCTTAAGTGTTTTGCGTGGCCTTCTGCCTACTGTGTAATAAAGCCGACTGTTCCTTACTTCAATAGCTCCAGGGTCTTGTGATCCAGGACGAGTCTGGGGTTTCCAGTCAGGTCTAGTTCCTGCAGCTTTGGAGGCAAGTTTTCGGGTAACGTGACTTCAGTCAGCTCGTTGCAGCTCAGATCCACGCACTGCAGGCAAGGAAGGAGGAGAAATGTTTCAGTTCTCAATCACGCGGGCCTCGTAGTCCTTTTTAGCTGAGCGGAATGGCATAAGACAAAGGCCCCGCTCTTTAACAGCTGACGCAGTCTGGTCAGGACTTATTTGGGAGAGGTGGGGGCTCACATGACAGAAACTCCCTCACCCCCCCCCCAAAATCCCAACACGCAGGAAAAGTAGCGAGAAAGACGGATGAGATATATCTGGCATTTTCCCTGATGCATTTTCCTAGGAACAGAGCCTTTTTCTTGCAATGAACAGTCGTCATATGAACCTCTACCGGAAGTCTGAACTGGTACAGTCTGGACACCGCTCTAGCCCCTCGTCCTATCCTCGTAAGCCAAAGACCGCTCCCACCCCCCCAGCCTAATTTAAAACATTTATATCCTGCCTTATTTCTTCAGACACCAGGTGGCTACCAACACAACAGGAAGTGTCAAAGAAGCACAAAAAAAAAAGTAAGAGTTCATTAACAAAACTGAAAACGGGCTGGTTAAAAATTCACAGTTTACCCACCACAAATGCCCTTTGAAACAGAACTTCTATAAAGAATTTTATAACACCACATCAACCCAAAGCACAAGGCAGGTTGTAAAAGGCATCGCTCTACGCAATAAGCCTTCTGTGACCCACAACAGCATCCCAAGACGTCTTGAAAATGTATATCCCCCCCCCCATCACCACCTTCTGCATGTTTCAGAACAAGTCCTGGTTTGCCCATCGTCTACGTTATGAGGGTAATTACTCTCTTTAAGTTAATGGAGCTCATCTTTATTAAGCGAGTTGTAATTAAAAGTTATGAAATAAGTACGTGGAAATGGAGCCCTTTGGGAAAGATCCGGCTTGATTTAGGCGAAATTACCATCACCAACCATGAGCCATTAGAAGAGAGGAGGTTAGGAATGTAAAGTAAGTTTTAAAAGCGAGTTTGCATTTAACCAGCACTGCTGGTGATATTCTTAGGCCCAGCAGATCGCATGCTGGGGTACCAGACTAAAAAAATTTAAAAGCCTATTTTCCCTTCAAATATTACTTGTTTTTCTTAGATCGTACGGATGTGAAGTCATGAAATCTACACTCACTGTTCAAAGGAGTGTGACACTTCCTTAAAGGAAAGGCAGCGGGGGGGGGGGGGGGGAGAACCATGAGACAGCAAAAGCGTGAGAAAGATCTGAAGATGCAGCCCACAGCCATAGCAGAGACTCTGGTGCGAGATGCATGGCTCAAAGACATGTAAAGGTAAAGGTTTCCCTTGCTCGGAAGCCAGTCGAATCTGACTCTAGGGTTGCAGTGCTCATCTCCGTTTCAAAGCCAAAGAGCCAGCACTGTCCAAAGACGTTTCCGCGGTCATGTGGACGGCATGACTAAACACCGAGGCGCACGGAACGCTGTTCCCTTCCCACTGAAGTGGTACCTATTTATCTACTTGCAATTTCTTGCTTTCGAACTGCTAGGTTGGCAGGAGCTGGAACTAGAGACGGGAGCTCATTCCATCATGTGGCACACTCGGGTCCCGAATTGTAGAACTACCGACCTTCCACAGCCTGCAGTTCGGCGTCTTAGCCACTTGAGCCACCGCAGCTCCTCAAAGACATGTACAACCTGCTAAATTCTGTCTTGTGGCCTTCCGAGCTTGATCTTTAGGATTACACTGAGGGCGACTCATCGATTAACTTCGTTTTCAGTCACACGGACGAATGCTTTGAGGTGAGAAGTGGACATGGCTGTGCATACCTGAAAGAAGGTATACCACACGTCCCAGCCGTGCTGCAAAAATTGGGACTGATACGCACAGGAAGCTGGAAAGTCCCTTCTTCCCAAAATGCATTGAGACTACATAGGCTTCCCCACTTTGGCTAAATTCCCACACATTTAAGTCCACTTTATCTTTCAGGATCCCTCTCCGATTTGGGGCGTAGATCAGGGGCCATCAATGGGACTGGACAGAATGTAACTCCAGTGACCTACACACTGTCGAAATGAATGCGTAAGACACTGCTCCTTGATGGTCTGAGCATTTCGAAGAGACTTTCTATTTCACAATACTTACAGGAACTTTTGAGAGAGGAACCCTTTAAAGACAAGACCCATACCTTGATTTCAGCGAGTTGCATGACTTCCGGAAAGACTTCGATACAATTGGAGTGCGCAATCACAGTATGCATGCGTCGGCAGTTCATGATGGTGGTGGGAATGGATTTCAGTTTATTTCCGCTCACGTCAATTTCTTCCAGTTCTTCAAGTTTGGCCATTTTACTACGAAAAGGCAACGCGATATATTTTAAGCAAGTTCTTCCAACCCTGCCCTGGTCTGCGAACCCCTGGCAAGCCTGATCTCTTCAGATCTCAGAAGCGAAGCAGGGCCGGCCCTGGCTGGCATTTGGATGGGAGACCCCCCCCCAAGGAATTCCAGGGGTCGTGATGTGGAGGCGGGCGATGGCAAACCACCTCTGAATCTCTCTTGCCTTGGAAACTCCAAGGGGTCGCCATACGTCAGCTGCAACTTGACGGCAATGAAGCAACAAAACCCAACTTCCAATCTTAATCTTGGGATGGTGGTTCTAAATTAAAGACCAGTTCCTTCAAGGGAATCACTGCCTCAAAGGGGGTACACCACATGGCCCAGTGAGGCCGCAAAAATTGGGACTGATATGCACGGGAGGCTGGAAGTTCCCTTCCTCCCAAAATGCACGGGGACTAAATGTCTCCAGCGTATAACTGCATTCACACCCCTAATGTAGCCAATCCTCCAAGAGCTTACAGTAGCTCCTGTAAGAAGAGCTCTGTAAGCTCTTGGAGGATTGGCTACATTAGGGGGGGTGGCCTAATATGCAAAGGAGTTCCTGCTACAAAAAGAGCCCTGAATTGTCTGCACATATTCCTTTCCATACCCAGACAGAACAGGGAACAGGGGTGTGGGCAGGGATCGTGGCAATCGCTGTAAGTGACTGGTTAAGCAGGAGAGGGGAGGAGCAAGACTGACATGGCGGCGTGAGACTGGCTAGCATGAAAGAGAATAGATATTAGCATATTTTTTAAAAACCGGAGCTCAGAGTGCAATGGGCCCCTCCCCCTTCATATTACATGTTTTCAGCCATATTTTTTAAAAAGGCCCCAAACCAAGTAAACTCCTCCCACTTGGGGCCACTCCAGCTTGGGAAAACGTCACGGGGGAGAGGCAGGAGCCCCTCCCTCCACTACTGTAAGTAAAGGTAAAGGTTCCCTTGCTCGAAAGCCAGTCGCGTCCGACTCTAGGGTTGCGGTGCTCATCTCTGTTTCAAAGCCAAAGAGCCAGCGCTGTCCGAAGGCGTTTCCGTGGTCATGTGGCCAGCGTGACTAAACACCAAGGCGCACGGAACGCTGTTACCTTCCCACCGAAGTGGTACCTATTTATCTACTTGCAATTTCTTGCTTTCGAACTGTTAGGTTGGCAGGAGCTGGAACTAGAGACGGGCGCTCACTCCGTCATGCGGCACCTGGGTCTCGAACTGCTGAACTACTGACCTTCCACAGCCTGCAGTTCAGCGTCTTAACCACTTGAGCCACCTACTGCTCATTAATTTCATTGAGTGCCCAGGAGTTCTTGTACTGTGAGAAAGGGAGAAATGTACTTCTTTCTCTTCCTTCTCTATCCCATGCATAATTCTGTAAACCTCAGTCATGTCACCCCTCAATCGTCGTTTCTCCAAGCTAAAGAGCCCTAACCTCTTTAACCTTTCTTCATAGGGAAAGTGTTCCATCCGCTTAATGATTTTAGTTGCCCTTTTCTGCACCTTTTTCCAATGCTATAATATCTTTTTTGAGGTGCAATAACCAGAACTGTACACAGGATTCCAAATGAGGCTGCACCATAAATTTATACAGGGGCATTATGATGGAGGAGGAGATTGGATTTGTACCCCGCCCTTCACTCAGAGTCTCAGAGCGGCTTACAAACTCCTTCCCCTCCCCACAACAGACACCCTGTGAGGTAGGTGGGGCTGAGAGAGCTCTTTCCAGAACTGTCCTTGAGAGAACAGCTCTGACAGAACTATGGCTTGCCCAAGGTCATCCAGCAGCTGCAAGTGGAGAAGTGGGGACTCAAACCCGGTTCTCCCAGATTAGAGTTCGCACACTTAACCACTACACCAAACTGGCTCTCTGGCTGATTTGTTTTCAATCCCATTCCTAATAATTTCCAGCACAGCATTTGGCTTTTTTATTGCAGTAATACACTGAGTTGACATTCTGAACACTAAATTGACAATATTCTTACAATCATAACAAAAACTGCTGTATTAGTGGTTTCACAAGCCAGAAAGGTCTCCCTACCTTGCAGGAAAGCTCTGGAGGCGATTGTAGGCCATATGCAAGATCTTTAGATGGGGGTGTCCCGTTAACAAGGGCACGCATTTATCTGTGAGGTGATTGTTGGTCAAATACAGTTCTTGCAAAATGCTGCGGGTCTCATCTGAAAGAGTGGCCGGAGGGAGCATTTCCAATTTGTTGGCAGAAGCATTCAGGTACCTCAAGCTGCAAAACAAGATGTCCGGGGTAAAAATGTACACAGCTAATTCACTGGACTTGATGTTTTAGAATATGTGACTCCACGAATAAAACTCGTCCTAAGAGTTCCAGCCTGAAGGTGGATCAAAACCATGTAGTTACATGCAGAGGTCATTTCGGGGGGGAACGCGGGGGAATGCAGTTCCTCCGGGTGAGGTACGGGGGGCGGGGCACATGACGAAGCCCCGCCCCCGCTTCCGGCTGCCCCGCTTCCGGCCCTCATTCAGCCAGGAGGAGGCAGGAGAAGAGGGAGGGTAAGTTGCTTCCTTCCCTGCCTCTCCCCACCCCTGCCTGCCTGGGGCCAGGGAGGGCCTTCGCGGGGCTTCCTTGCACTCCCGCCGGCCTAGCAGGTCCACCGCCGGACCCCTCATGGGGCTCGGCAGTGGAGCTGCAAGGCCGGCACCAGCGGCCGGGAACGTTGGGGGCGGGGTGTGTGGCCTTATGACACATTTCCGGTGATGTCAGGGGGTGTGGCCTTATGACACACTTCCGGTGATGTCAGGGGGTGTGGCATATGCTAATGAGTTCCCCTAGCTCTTTTTCTACGAAATGACCCCTGGAGGGACTTTAGGCATTATAGATCAAAATGGGTAGCTGTGTTAAGTCTGCCTTGTAGCAGTAGAAAAGAGCAAGAGTTCAGTAGCACAACATTTGTGGCAGGACGTATGAGCTTTCATGAGTCACTGCTCACTTCTTCAGATACAGCTCGAATGGGAGCCCATCTGTCCTATTTTCTGGAGAGTGGAGTGATTTCAGATGCTGAATGACCTTAGCAGGCAAAGGACAATAGCAAGTGTGACTGGATTAGGTGCTAGGGGGTAGTAGGCATGGAAAAACCAGACAGGAAACCCAGGTCTCGATTGAGTCCAGGAGGATGCATTATCTTGAGCTTCATTATCAGCTGCAATTTAGCAGCGTCTCTTTCTAATCTCCCTTTGAAATGCCTTTGTAAGAGAACAGCTACTCTTAGGTCAGCAACTGAATGTACTGGAAGGTTAAAAGTGTTCCCCCACTCCCCAAAATAGAAGGAGGAGATTGGATTTATCCCCCGCCCTTCACTTCCCAAAGGAGTCTCAGAGCGGTTTAAAAAATCCTTCCCCTTCCCACAACAGACACCCTGTGAGGTAGATGGGGCTGAGAGAGCTCTGACAGAACCTGCTCTTTTTCAAGAACAGCTGTGCCAGAACTATGGCTTGCCCAAGGTCATCCAGTAGGTGCAAGTGGAGGAGTGGGCAATCAAACCCAGTTCTCCCAGATTAGAGTCCACACACTTAACCACTACGCCATACAGGACAGACGGACTCACATTCTAGCTGTATCTGAAGTAGTAAGCAGTGATTCGCGAAAACTCATACACTGCCACGAGTTTTGTTACTCTTTAAAGTGCTACTGAAACTCTTGTTCTTTATGCGTTATGTATTTATTGTATGGAAAATCATTGAAATAGGAAACAGCATGAAATCTGTGTGTAGAAATTCATGTGCAATGATTGCACAGCATGTGCTGAAGGCGGGTGCCTACAGCACCCATGCACATGCATGTGTTATGTACATACAATGAAATGTGCATGCCTGCAATCGCAGTTTCGGGACAGGCAAGAGGTGGCATGAAGTCGCACCAAATGCAGCTAAACCGTTCTCCAGTTCTATTTTATCTGTTGCAACACAACAGCACCAGAGTTGAAGAATTGCAAGCACTTCGTGACCAGCGAGCATTTCTATAACAAAGGTTTGGCCAATTGCATTTCCGCTGCACTTAGCATGTCGCGATCGTGTAGATTCTGGCATGGGCATTTCCTGACCGTCTCAGCCTTCATGTTAAGAGCGGAGTGGTGCTTCTAGTCCACAGGCCCACACGTGAAAGCTTGAAAATATGTGGGCAGCATACACTGCAAAGCCAGAAAAAGCCAGAGAGGGTCAGGGACGGTAGTTCTAGAGGTCAGGGAAGAGAAATTGTGGACTGCCACGGCGGCGGCATTTTCCCAGCCTGCTATCCAATGCTTTTCTTCCGTTGTCTCGAAATAGCCAAATGTTCAGCGTTTAATAAAAATGGAAATTCTCGCAAATGTCACACATTTAATTTGAGCACATAGCTGAGGGTATCTTTGCACAGTATTTAGACCAGCATTGCTGAGAGCAAAGGCAGATCCTTCCACGTAGTGTACAGAGCGTGGGAGCTACTTGGGGGCCTTCTGGCAGCTCCGTTAGGATTCCAGGAACTCCAGCTATTTTGACATCCCAGGTGTGTGGGGGGGGGGGGGGGGACGACGACGTGTGCCTCTTGAGTTAAGAATGCAAACTGAATCCTGATTCCTGACACCATTTTTTAAAAAAATGCAAAGTGTGAATCCATTGTGTTTTACAAGTGGCAGCTCCACATTACCTACATTCCCCCCCCCCCAACACTACCGCCGAGGACCAACTTTAGGTATTCATGCTTGAAGGTGACAACTTTCGTATTGTGGAATGTGTGGGTGTATTCACAAAGCTGCAATTCATCATCCTCCACGGGCAGGGAACGGTTGCCCTTCCACATAAACATGTTCTAGGCTGATAAAAACAAAACTGGCACTAGTTCAATATAAACCCCACCTTTCACCCTCCCGGATCGCGTGAATCCGCTCAGAGAGAAGCGTTAAAGTCCAAAGAGTATAAGTGAAAAAGTACATATCCTTGTTCCGGATGTACCGTAACACACACTTAACTAGGCTGGAGCTAATTCTGTGACCTCTGTCCCAGACCAGTGGTGTCAAACATACGGCCCAGGGGCCGGATCAGGCCCCCGGATAGCTTTTGTCAGGCCCACAGAGTAACTGGCTGTCTTCTGCTTCTTCTTCCAGTTCTGCTGCTGCTGCGTCATCCTAGGTTTGCAGCTTACAGATACACACCTAAACAGCATACTCAAAGTTGCAACAGCACAGGCATTTTGATGTAATAATTCAGAGCAAGAGGTGTCGGTTATCAGACACTGTTAAATAAACAAAATACTGCAAGGAGCGCTAATGTTTTAAGCATGTTTTTATTTTAAGTTTTTAAAAAACCCTTTGTGTTTGTGTCCTTTATAAAGTTTATATCTCCGCTACCTGGCATTACATTTTATGACACACATGGCCCGGCCCAACAAGGTCTCATTTATGTCAGATCCGGCCCTCATAACAAATGAGTCTGGCACCCCCGTATTAGACTTTCAAGATGTCACAGGCTCTGTTTGAACTAGTGGCAGCTACTCCCTGGAGTCTACCACATGGGGCTCAAATTCTCTTTCCAACATTTCCAGGACAGGACCCAGCTGGCTCCTGAGTTGGCCACGCCCAGCAGGAACTCATTAGCATAATAGGCCACACCCAACAGCAGAAACTCATTCGGATTGGCTACATTAGGGGTGTGTGGCCTAACATGCAAAGGAGTTCCTGCTACAAAAAGAGCCCTGGTTGACAACAAACAAGGTAAACAGAATAAGAAGCAAAAGGTGGGTGTGGCTGGATGACCACACCTCTGATAACATGGGGGTGTGGCCTAATATGTGAATGAGCTGCACTGTCAGGGGTGTGGCCTAATGTACTAATGAGTTTCTGCTATTGGGTGTGGCCTGTTATGCTAATGAGTTCCTGCTGGGCTTTTTCTACTAAAAAAGCCCTGCACGTCCCCAAGTAAAATCGAACAAATACCGCCCTCCGAGTCCACTGCTCAGTTTCTCTGAAGAGAAAGTGGTGGAGACAGATCGATCGAGTCTGAAAAAGTGGAACGCCTCTGACCGCTCTGGCCCTAGTATACGGATGACAGCCCCACTAACCTGGAAGCAATTTGATAAATTATTTAACCCATAAAAACGGCAAAGCAAATCACCAGCAATAAAGCGGCACTTTTAAAAAACTACAATTAAAATATTTGTGGTCTATGTCATCAGAGGAAATGAGGCAAAATGTTAAGAGTTCTCTTCTCAGATGAACTACGTGGGCAAATATGGGAAGCTTCTGCTAATGAATGAACTCTGGATTTTTCCCCCTCCGGCCTGCTGAGATGCGCCTTTTGCAAATAAAGAACTGGCCACACGACTGAGCAGTCACATGGATGGTTGCAGAAGGGTTTGTCTGCCTTTCTTTTTTGGGGGGGAGCTTTCCATTAAAAATTAAAAAACCCTCCAGGAGCTCAAGAGACCCAAAACTAGGTTAGCGATACGCATTCCAGAGAAGTCATTCTCACCGGGGGGGGGGGGGGGGGGGGCGTGGGTGCTCTCACTATTTAACAAGAACTCTGGGCTTTGTAGAGAGGGGGATTCCCCCCCCCCAGTTTAATGGTGATAAAAGAATGGGAAAACAGAACAGAAAGCCACCAGGAATTAATCGTTCTACCTACTAAGCAAAACACAATATACGTCCATTCACAAACAGTGAAAAATAGCCAAAACACGAGAACCCCGAACTCCCTCACCTGTAAAACTGAAACCAAACCAAGACTAAAATCGATCATTGCATATCCCTCTCCCCTAAAAATGGTACAGACTATCTTGGGAGAGAACAATTCTTCTATGAGTGACACCTCACAATCTCCAGAGTAGTTCAAACCCTCAAAAACACACATACAGGTTTGCACACACATAGCTAGTGCTCTCAACGCTTATACATTTGAACAGGGCTATTTTGGGGCAGGAACGCACAGGAACGGTGTTCCGGCTGGCTCCTGAGTTGGCCACGCCCAGCAGGAACTCATTAGCATAATAGGCCACACCCAACAGCAGACACTCATTAGGATTGGCTACATTAGGGGTGTGTGGCCTAACATGCAAAGGAGTTCCTGCTACAAAAAAAAGCCCAGGGTTTTGACAACAAAGTAAACAGAATAAGAAGCAAAAGGTGGGTGTGGCTGGATGACCACACTTCTGGTAACGTGTGGGGTGTGGCCTAATATGCTAATGAGCTGTGCTGTCAGGGGTGTGGCCTAATATGCTAATGGTTTCTGCTGTTGGGT